TTCGGGCTCCCTCGGCGACCGTTTGCCGCCTTCGGCGGCCGTCTTAGGCCTAATGTGTTGGGTCGTCGTGGGGCCTTCTTGGGCCATCTTGGGGCCCTCCTGGGCTGTCTGTCTGGGTTTGGCTCGGTCGTACTGGCCATCTTGCGCTGCGTGGCCCTCTCGGAGGCCTCTGGGGCCGTCTCGGGGCGGTCTCGGGGGGCATGCGGGACCGTCGCGGGAGTTCGGAAGCCAGACCAGGCGAGAACGCGAAAGCCATTGACACAACATGAGGGCAATCGACGAGTGGAGCTTCCTGGAGGTCCTCTTGGATCCCTCGTTGGGGCGTCGTGGCAGCCGTCTTGGGGTTGTCTTGGGGTCATCCTGGGCCGTCTTGGGACTGTCCTGGGCCTCTTTGAGGCACATTGAAGCCATCTTGAGCTCTCTTGGTGCCATCTTGTCCGTCTTGGAGGCGTCTTGGGGATGCAATCTTGAGTCACCCTGGGCGACTTGGGGGCGGGCGCTGTGCAGATTCTGGTGGGCGTTCTTGCCTTTCCGTCCCGGCCGAGATGCCAGCGGGTTGCGCCGCAGGCCATTGGGAACCTCTTGGAATACAGTCAACCCGCATAGTAAGGATGGGCAACCTTCCCAAGGGTACCCTTGCATCCTTGCCCCTTCAGCCCATCCTTAGCGACTCTCGCTGGCCGACCTCGTTCGACAAACGCTAACGTGGTCCTCCAAGGCCCTTGCACCCTTACCGCGCATCCTTATGCTACGAATTGACTGTAGCCCCCTCCCCCAAAAAAACGTAAACCTTTGCACGCCACGCATCCCTCCGCAGGCAACGTGGGCGGTGGATCCAAGACGCCTACAGCGAATCAACTCCGCACCCTGGCCTTTTGAGCTCACGCGGCCAAACGTTTGGCTGAAGTCTGGCCAAGCTACTGGGCTTCGTGCCTCCTCTGCCAGTGTGGAACCCTTTTGGGGAACACTTGGGAGAGAAAGAGGAAGGAGGAGGAGGAGAGGGAGGAGAGAAAGGATGAGGAGGATTAGGAGCCATACTATGAATACGAATGCAACGACGAAAGAAATAGCAACACGAATACTGATACTAATAACCAGCCGATGCCAGCGAGAGGATACTAAGCTCAGTAAGACGAGTACGGTAATACTAGTAATGCAACTGCCACTACGAAGAACAATCTTACTAACATTAAGAAGAAGCAGCATAATAATCATAATACGAATACGACGAAGAATAATAATCATAATAATAAAGAAGAAGAGGAGGAAGAGCCAGACGAAGCGGTGACGCCTTCTTGAGGCCTCGTGGATCTTCCTGGGAGCATCTGGCGACGGATCGAAGGCGCCTGCGGCGAATCACCGCTGCCTCCTGCATTCTGGAGGCGGCTGTGTGGCCGAACGTTGCGGCCAGAGCTCGGCCACGCCATCGGACTGTGTGCTTCCCTGGCCGCTGTGAAAGCCACCTCGGGGCACGCGCGCGGGCCACCTCTGAGCCTCCTTGGGGGCTTCCTGTGGGCCTCTGGGAGGCTCGCTGGGGGCTCCCTTGGGCCTCTTGTGGGCCCCTGGGGGCTTCTTGGACGGCTCTTTGGCCGGCCGAGGGCGCTCCTGGCTCGTCCGACGCCGTCGGCAACCATCCTGGGGGGGCCTCCTTGGGCCAAGTTGGGGCCCCTCTTTGGGGCGCCTCAGGGCCGTCTTGGAGGCCACACTTCGGCGTCAGGGGGTCTCCTGGGGAGTCTCGTGAGGCCCCCCCTGGGGCCGCGCTGGGAAGGGAGGTCGATCTCGGGCACCTGCTCGCGGGGGGCCCAGCGCAGATCCAAGAACTCCGCGCGGCCGCCTTTTGAGGGGCCCTGGTGTTCCGCAGAGGTATCCTGGGGACCATACAGTCGGGGCCCTGAAGAAGGAACCCTTTTCGTTGGGGAGGGGCTCCGTGTTCCTTACGTGTTTCGCAGCTTGCCTTGGACTTCCCCTAGGTTTTCGAAGCGAAATCGAAGCTTAACTTATGGAAAATAGGGGCCTCGTTCCTTATCTAAGGTTCCTTAGGTCAACGCCCCGACTGGAGGCCTCGAGCGGCCTCGCCTCGCCCTGGGGGTGAAGCTCGGCCGCTCGGAGCCGGCGACGCTGGCGAGAGGCAGTGCGTGGCGGCGAGCGCAGTGGGGTTCGACCGCCCCGCGTCTCAGCCTGCGAGGCCCGTGTTCGACTCGAACCTCTGGGTGAATGCGGCGGTAAAAGAATCGGGGACCCCAAACAGTGAGAAACAAGCTTATGTTTACAGTGAGCGGCTTGAATAAGGAACACGAACTTTTCAAAAGGGGCTCCGTCGTTCCTTAGGCTTGCATGCCTTATTCATCGTCCCGTATACGTTATTGATTAGTTATCGTTCCTTATGCGTTACTCCCTGGAGAAAAAAGGGGCTTCGTTCCTTATTTATCGTTCCTTAGGTCAGGCCGATGACGGTATGCCGTTTTCTGTTTTCTTCTACAGTCGGCGGCGGGACTTCTCA